GGTTATTCATGTCATATATAGAAGTAAGTATATATATGGGACCGTTTCCAAAAATGGAAAGAGGTGACGGGTGGGAGGGGCACTGTGTTTGATTCAGTACATGAGCGATATCTTAGCAAACAGAAAAGATAAGAGGTTCTTATTTTATATTATAGCTAGTTAATATCAGTAGTTTGAGTTCTTAATTTATACAAAACTGTAGATTTTGTATTTTGACATCACAGACATCTAATCTGAACCAGTGCTACATTTAAATTAAGAAATTAACTAATGTATAATACCAAAATTTGAATTATAATCTACAATTTGATACCAAACTTATTGACATAAATCTATAAAATAGTAGTTCAATAAAATTTTGAATGCGAGTCAACAAACGTGATGACATGGCCTTTGACATGTGACCTGTTGCAAAAGGGTTAATAGTACTCCACAAATAAGCTTTAATAAAAACAGTGTTTAACTCGATATATTAAGTTTTGTTGTCATGCCACAGTCCAAAAAAGCATAGAGAATTGTCAGTAGAGCAGAGAGTTTGCATAAAAGCTTTATGTGATGCTGGTTGGACTCTCAGACAAATTGCTGCAGACTTGAAATGCTCACCAAACACTGTCAAGTACACCCTACATTGTGAGACCGACACAGATAAATTTGAAAATAGGAAAGGAAGAACACCTAAACTCAATTATACTGATGTTAAGTATCTTCATTTATGCAGCCTTCAGGACAGAAGGAAGACTGCCACTGATCTCAAGCATGAGATAAATGACCATGTACCAAATGACAGAAAAGTGTCCAGATCTACAGTATTGAGAAGACTCAACAAGAATGGAATATTTGGTCGTGTAGCAGTTATAAAACCTTTACTTCTATCTCCAAATATTGTAAAGGAGACTGAAATTTGTTAAAAAGTACAAAACTGGTGTGTTGATGATTGGAAAAGAGTGTTATGGACAGATGAGACCAAGTTTGAAATATCTAGTTAAAAGCGTAGGTTGTACGCCTGGCAGAAGAAAGGTGAAAGATACTTACCTCAATGCATAGCACCTATCATGAAGCAGGGGAAGCAGTATGATGGTTTGCGGGTGTTTTTCTGCTGAGACAACAGGAGATTTTTACAAATTAGATGAAATAATGGACCAGTGCAAGTACCATCAGATACTGATCTGTCATGGTATACTCAGTAGTTTGCATATTATTGGTAAAGGATTCTACTACCAAGAAGATAATGAACCCAAACACTCATCCAACCTATGCAGAAATTACTTAGCTAAGAAAGAAGCTGCTGGAGTCATTCAAATTATGCAATGGCCCCCACAGAGCCCTAATCTCAACCCAATTGAGCAGATCTGGGATTTAATAGATCAAAAACTTGACAAATCAAAAGTCACTTCCAAAGCAACTTTATGGGAGTGTATTAGAGACATTTGGAGTAAATTCCCAAAGGACAAAAACTGAGGAATGATCAAAGCTGGTTAAATTGAAACAGAGCTATGATAGGTTGCTAATCTCCTATCTTCATGGGAATAATAAAAGATGAGAGTAAGACCACAGAGTGAGGTCAAAGAATTATTCCATGGTATTCTAATCAGGTGAGGTGGAAAGTGAAAGTTCAGAAAAAACCCATGAAAAAGTACTTGAGTAACCAAATAGTCTGGGGAAAAGGAAGTCAGTCCACAGAAGTACTAAGTGGAAAAGTTTAACTCCCACCAGACTAAAGATAAGGGGTGGCTCCAGAAACAAGTCACCACCAAGAGGCCTAGGTAGAGGTGGCAACCCCATAAAGCTATAAAGGGTGAGAAACCTGGTAGGGTCCCTTGGTCCAAGAAAGGCAAGAAACAAAAGTGAGAAGATATGACAGCAGACAGGCTGCATTAGCTCAAGAGTATAAAAAAACAATCCCTCCCCAAAAATAAACAACCCCATTATATAGAAAGTGTGCAAGACAAAGGGCTTTGAGAGAATACTGAGGGAAGCAAATGTAGAAAGGAAGGTATCCTAACAAATTAGGAACCAAGTTAGTAGAGACACAGTGAAAGAAAATTGATGGCAAGGTGGAAAACATGTATGTGCAAGTTTTCTCAGTAAAGCTTACAGGGTTGTTATGTAAAGCTTCTAAGAGAATGTGAAGCATGAACAGATAGTGAAGAAGTTGAACAAGTAAGAGAAGATGATGAGTAGATGGAAGGAGACAAAGAGAAAAAGGAGAAGATCTCCAAGCTTAAAAAAAAAAAAAGGAGACTAAAGTGATATAAGTTCAGGTAACAAGGAGTCCAAGATTCAGTCAAAAACAAACTTCATGGACTTCTGAAGAAAATGAAAGATTTTACTTTCATTGCAAATTGTTGTTTTTAAAAGGCATACTTGAATTATGTTCAATACTATCTTTACAAGTTGAAAAGGAGGACATATTTATGAAGTACTTCTTTCAATGAAAATGATAAAAAATTCTCTACAGACTATATACTGACAGAATAAGCAGCAGATCCCAGCTGTGAAAACTTGACCAAAAAGTCTGATACTATCTTAACATAACATAATGTTTTGGGACAACAAGGGACCCTTTTTTTCCATCATCAAGTACAAGTAGTTTCCCTGTGTCTATGTAAACTACTTGTACCTGATGATGACAAAAGCTTGTTGAAACATTGTACATTTGTAATAGTTTCTTTCACTACCCTTTCAAGCCATCTCCAAACTATTTTTGCAGGTTTACCTTCTTCACAATTGGCTGGTGAACACTCAGAACACACTGTAGTTAGCACTGATCAATGCTGACTAAATTTAATCAAAGAACAGTTTCCTATAGGCACCACTTGACTTTGATTTAACTTGTTAGCTAAGTTAACCTTTCAGTTTTTAGTGGCAGGGCCTTTTCTATTTACAACTCTACAGCTAGGTTTAGGAATGTTTTTTTTAGCATAGAGCTACACAATGGGCCGTCTGCTCTCTGTCCACCTCAAGGAATCAAACCACAGATTTTAGTGATTTAAGTCCAGAGCCTTATAGCTGACTCACCAAAGGACAGGTTTAGGATGGTAACAATTGCCTTACTACCTCTACTAACAACTAGTTATTTTAAAGACTTGCCTACTTCAGTATTGGTGTTCTAAACTACTGATGAATATGTTAAGGTTGTATGATAATGAATGTTGACTTGTAAAGAATATCATTTTGGTAGACTTGAAAATGTGTGTACCTGGATGACAGTGTTAAGTTTCTCAATGGTGGTAGTTGTTTTTTAAACAAGAATTTCAGTTTACTTTCATATGCTTAGTGATTATCTCATGTAAGTGCCTATCTTTAAAGACATGAGATGTGGCTATTACTTAGTAATTTTAAATAGGTATATTTTATACTTGCTAATGACTTTATTTTTAATTACCTAGTCAATAAGTACTACAAGAAGGTGGACTTAATTTTTAGAATTTCAATCAATTATATTATTTTGTTATTTTTTAAAAAATAAATTGAAAGATAAATGTCAGTTTGTTACTTACTACATACCTATTTCCTTCAATACTCAAACCTCTTAGAAACTATAATTTGAAAAAAACAAACAATACTAACAATAACTATGGGCTGTTTGATAGGGACTATTTACAGCTCCTGACCATTTTTCAAACGTGAAGAATTGTAACATGTTAGAAAAATAATTCAGTGATGGGATACTAGAACAACATCTAACTTACAAAACATAATTATAGGGGAAGTCCTAAAATGTTTGGAATATAGAGCAAATAAAGGTGATTTGATTCAAGTGTGCAGTATTGTTACAGGACTATTTAAATGGTCAAACAAAAATGGTTGGAAATACAAAGTTGAAGATTAGGAGTACTTAGCAGTGAAATTCCAGACTGATATACATTTTCCAAAATTATTTTTCTCTTGAATATAAATTTGCCAAATGATTTCTCTGATGATGTGATGTATAATGTTAGTATTTTGTTGGATAAGAATATGAATATAAAATGTTACATTTAGGTTGATTTTGATGGGTGGAGAGGTGACCAAGATAAACAGGAAAGTTTTCTGTTTCTTCGATCTCTCTGTTTCTTTCTTCATGAAGAATTGGTTAACGTAAGAATTTTTTAACTTTTCTTCATTCAAAAACACCCATATTTGAGTATTTCCCTTTTTCAACAGTATATCTTACTTATTCATTTTTAAATAAATGCCACTGAATAAATATATCATACTCCCAACAAATTATTTGATTAGTCAGCGATACCACATTGAGCGATATTTCCAAATTCCAAGATACAATTAGTATAGCTCTAGAATTGAATGCTAATGACAAAAAAGAAAATACACCATGACTAGCATTCATATACTTCAAAAATTTTTAAGTCCTCATCCTGGCTACTGTATGACTCTAATGGTCTTTCCCATTCCCAATGTCCCAAATTCTGTGACTTTTGATTTAAGTTATACAGCATGAATTGTTAAAATATTTTTTTATATTGAAAAAAATCAAAGTTGAATTATTGCATAACTTTGTATATATAAGTTGTATAACTATAAAGTGTAAATTTGTCTATATCAATATATGACTTATGTCTAAACACCAGCAGCCACGGATAGTATTACTATAATACTGGCGTTAGTGTATTTCCGATAATGTATGTGGATTACACTGGTAATGTTCAGTCTTCAGCTTACTAATTACTAACTTAATAAGTGACTACCTTGTAAGTATCACAATCATATAATGTTAAGACTCATCATAGAGTAGGCTAACTCTTACTACTAGTAGTATTACACTTTCTATTTACAGTATAAAATTAAAACTAGTTTAATAATAATATTAATAGTAAACTGTAAAGTACAGTAAAACATGTACGTCTCAGAAAGTTGTGTTCAAATCGGACGAGCTGTTAAATTATAATTTTTAGTACGCATTCCAAGTTATTAAAAATAATGTTAAAACTGATCGATTTCTAAATACATGTAGTGAAGAAATTTTGAGTTAATAAGCTTTCAAACTTTACTTAACCTACCATTATCCGCCATTTTCTAGTCTACTCACTCTACTGCGCCCTCTTTTGAGTACAATAGTAGTCCTACAGTGTCGAACGAAGAGAAAGGTAGAAGAAAGATTAGTCAAAGAGGAGGACGGTTTTGTATTGAAGCCTGTAAGTTTTCTATGACGTACTTTAAAACTGGGTTGTTGTTATATCTTAGAGTAAGTGATTTAAGTATTTTGTTGAAAATTTATGATAAAGACAGATTACTTTTTAGTATGTTTTGAGTTAGAAATAGAATGTAAAATTCTGTGGTTATGAGCAATCTGCATAACCATTTTTATAGAATGTCGAGTGATTTATTGACAGTGATATACTGATACTGAAAGAAGTTTGGAAAGCATCTCTATAGTCTTACACCAGAAGTAAACCGATCAGCTTAAACTGAACACGCCGCCTAAGGACCATTGTTAACGGCATGGACAACTCTAGCCTGGCCGCTGATGGTGGAACAGCAAAGAAAAGAAAAGATAAGCATAGCAACGTTCGTAACAAAGATTCAGACAAAGGAGATAAAGTTGACAAAAAACGTACGTTGCTCTCATTTTCACCGTGTTTTGCTACGTAGAACATACAACAATGGAGAATAAAGGCTAGATTATTACGAATTTAACTATAAGTATAATAAAAATATCCGTTTCGAGAGGCATCATTTGGTATTAAAATTTAGATTAAGCTTAATAATAAAACTAAGTAATACTTAAAAGTTAAAACTTCAAAATCAAAGACAAGATTTCTTGTTGCCAGTGTTGGGTTTTTAATATTTATTACATAACTTATAAATAATTTAAAAACGTTCAAGCTATTAAAAATATTTTTGAACGATTGTAATAATTACTAAATTAGTATTAGTAGACATTTTGTTTTTAAACTAGCTTGCTTGAATATTTTTTAGGCTTAGCCTCAAACTGCAAGTATAATGTTGAAATTGTTTTGGTACACTGTGATGCTAATAGAGAAAAAATGTTAACTTTGATACAAATTAAAAAGCTTTATCTTTGTTGTATTCATAACTACACATTAAAATATCAATATAATATTTATAATGCTTTTGTGCCCTTAAATTAAAATTTGTATAATAAAATATTAAAGTTAATATCTGTGGTAATGTTGTTTTCTTTCCATATTAAATATTAATTTTTGTATGTAATTCTAAGGTACAATTCGGCATGAATGGACACAGACTGATGCAAAGGTTGTAGTAACATTACATGTGGGCTCATATGTGGATTTGAACCAGCTAAATTTAGAGCCTGAAGAAAACCATTGTTTGCTTAGTTTTCCTGGTAAATATATTTTTCAAGTGTCATACATAGTTTAGCTGTCCTATTTCATTATCTATTTTTTAACTAACTTAATAATAAATACATAAAAAACAAAACCTTATAATGTTAATAGCTTAAAAACACATGTACAATAATAACATTCCTGATTTACAGGTAAATATGTGATTGTTAAATGAACACGCATACACCATTTTGACAATAATTTATCAAACTAACACTAGCTTTTTTGGTGCTACTATAGCATGCATTCTACAAAGATATTTGCACTATAGCATCATCACCATTTTAACTTTCGTTTATTTGCAACTGGCACCAGTTATTATAAATAACGTTTTTGGGGCAAATATGATCTGAATGAAATAAATTCCAACAATCAAAACTGGCACAATTATAACCTAAGTTTAAAGTACTCTTTTGGAACACACAACTTGTTAAATTATTATTATTTGCTGAACAAAAACATGGATAGATATAAATCATTTAGCAAGAAGTTATGTTTTAGTGAATCATGAAAACAGTGATGATGATATTATCTGTGTAGACCGCACACTATAATGTAAATATACAGCAAATTCCATAGTAGGTCTATTGTTAAAGCCTTCTTTTATGTTTTAAACTTCTAAAGTATACATTTGGGTGTCATGTTTTATAATTGTTGGTCAGTGCAACTGGCTGGAATAAAATAAAATGATTTGGGAAGTCAATACCTTAACATGAAGAAAACAGTAAATGTAAATAATTTCTGATTAGTTTGTTCACAATACTGTACATTTCAGGTATTACAGCTTTCTAATAACTTTAAATCTAGTGTTCAGTTTTAAATAAAATTACCTCTCTGATGTTGAAACCTTTAACAAAATACATGGTTTTTTTGTCAGATAAAAAATTTATGTTTTTTGTGCCACTGAAATGCTTTTATTCACTTATTTAGATGTCAGACTTGTGTACACCTCAGCCAGCACAGGTTTATTTATTTACATAGACAATTGCAGAATACTTTGTCTAGTTGTATACAAATATAATGAACGAGTATTTTGGTGATAAGCAGGTAAACTAAAAAATCAGTATTTTTCTCCACTGACAATACCTTCAAAAATTTCTTTTCTTCGCCAATTCATGAATTTCAGTAAAGATAATGTAGAGGCCTAATCTCTTCTTTGGTTCACTATTCTCGATGCAAAAGACTAGTTTCACTGAATTCATAACTTGTCACTGCCACTTGGAAGAGTGATCTAAGCCAAACAAATTGCTTAGATTCTACCTCTATGTAAGGCCTACTTCATTTATTTGCTTTACTCATCCGAGCATCACTGATCAGCCTTGAATTCAGTGAAACTACTCTGTGATTAATTGTAATGGTAGGTCACGTTATCCAAACACCTAAAGTATTTTAGTTGACAAGAAGTGAGTAAAGGACTCTACATCTAAAGCAAACAAATAACCTTCAAAACTTCTGATAACATTTTTATGTTCATTACCTTGCAGCTTTTTCTTCACATACACACAAATTCAAAACTAACTACTTATTTAGAAAGATTTTAAGCTATTTAGTAAGTAATGTTATGGTTGTAAAAAAATATGAAGTAAAAGCATCAACTGTTTTGTCTGTTTTTATTTAAAGTAAATCAATTGATAAATAAATATATATATATATCTTGCTGTTTTAACCAATCATTGAATCAGAAGTTTTAATTATTGCTGTTTTCAGTGTAGCAGTTTCTATTATAAGATGGTAAAATGTGACCCAAAAACCTGAGGGTTTTCAAAGAGAGCTCTCTCCACCTCTCTTGGTGGCTCAGCAATAATTCTAAGGGCTAAAAATTTATAAGCCTAGTGCTTAACAGAATGATCACCTGTAGACTGGCTGATTGGTAGTATATGATAATCCATCATTAGTTGGGCTAATAAACCTTATTACATTCAACTAACTAATTATTTTCACATAAGACTTGGATAATTGAAAATTGTAATACTCAGAAATGCTAATTTTATTAATTACTTTAATTGAGCAATGAAATTAACAATGTTTACTTACTTGAGAAAAATAATGAAAAATCATACTGGAAATTTTTCAATTACTTGGATAGTTGGAATAGAAAACAGTTTATTTTCATGATACTAACCCTTTCGATATGGGTCACGGGTGAAAGGCCATATCATCTTGTTTGTTGACTTGCATTCAAAATTTTATTGAACTACTATTTCATGAATTTGTGTCAATAAGTTTGGTATCAAACTGTAGATTATAATTAAAATTTTAGTAGTATACATTACTCAATTTCTTAATTTAAAAGTAAGTATTAAAAACACAGAAAAACATTGATTTTTGTATGTCACGTGATATGTTGAATGCAGCACTGGTTCAAATTAAATGGTTGTATAGTCAAAATACTAAGTCTGTAGTTTTGTACGAATTAGAAATTCAAATTGCTGATATTGACAAGCTAGAATACAAAATAAGATATAAAAAAATCTTCCATTTCTCTAAACTTAAAGGATTTGTTTTATAAATCAAACACAGATGAAAATTTGTCCAATAATTTAAATTTTACAGTTATTAAAATAATTACTAGGGTTTCAAGAAATAACTTATTTAAAATAGAAATTCTGATCAATTTTGTAACTTTGTTTATACTTATAAACTGACTATAATAATGATCATCCATCACTACAGGTTTGAAATAAAAAATGCTTGTTAGAAAAGTATATGTCGTGTTAAAATTGATAAATAAAACAAAACTTGATTAGACTATTGTGCTTTGATAAAACAAACATATCTTTTGAAGTAATAAAATGTTGAAGAACTTTGCTGGTGCATGCTACTAGCCAAGTATTTAGTGTCTTGAAAATTGCCAAAATAGACCTTTTAATACAGTTGTGAACTTGTAGATGGCAGGAAATGGAAGTGCTCACTATACCAACCTGTAGTGGCAGATGGCACCACTGTGGCTCAGAGGGGAAATAAAGTTTTCATACAGATGGTGAAGAAAGTTCCAAACAAGCATTGGCCTCAGCTTGAGGTAGCTTTTTCATTTGTATTGTAGTTAAGCTCAATGATTTGACTGTTTTGATATAAAGTTTTGAAGGTTACAAAATTAACTGATGGTTGTGGTGAAACGTAGTTGAAAGATTATAAAATTATTCCTCAGTAACCAGTGTTAAGACAAGGGTATCTTGTTTTATTATTTTGATTCAAAAAGTGATTTTTTTTTTAATATATAGATGTCTTAATTAGATCTTTTTAAATTTGGTAATAGTATTTATTGCAAACACACTAAGTTATATATATTATTATATTAAACTTATAATATAACTTATATTAAAAAAATTTAAGTGTCACAATACAAAAAAATCATACAGCATGAACTTAGATTAGATACAGCTCACATGTTTTGAGTTGACTAAGACAGATTCTTGAAATTATTTGTTTCAAACATCTGTAGATATGGTTTACAGGGCTCAGTGGTTTGTATTGGCCATTGCCTGGAACAATTTAAATTTGCTGTCTGAAAAGCAAAAAAAAAACATCTATCAAAGGAACGAATGCTGTATGAAACTGTTAACATGCTGATTACGGTGCAACTACATGGTGTGTGTATCTATGATATATTAAAATTGATAACATTTATATCTAATTGCTCATCAAACCAGTCTAAGATTGTCAGCTGTCAGCAGGTTTAACCATATATTAAGACAGTCTTACCTTTAATTATTAATCTATAAAATAAATGCATGGTCTAATTATTATTGCTCACAAAATGTTTATTTGAATTATTTACCATTAATAAAGATCTTTCCTTACTATAATTTACAATTTTTGACAAATAACTGCTGTAAACAAGACATGTAAATGGATTTCAAGGAATTCTAAGATACTACAGAATATTGTAAGACCAGTATTTAAAAAAAAACAATGTATATGACCCTGCAAATAGCTTTTATGTGACTTGATTTATTATATAGTAACTTCCATCAATTTTTTCCTTAAGATTAATATTGATAATTTGATTTTATGCCTTCAGAATTGTTACTTTTTTCACATTAAATATCAACGGAAATTATTTTTTTGAAAAAGTATGGACAACTAATCTTCACATAAATCATTTGCCTGTAGCATATGAAGATACAAATCATGATTTTTTTTTAACTGTGTTGAGGAAATGGTCATTTTTAACTTTTTATATAGTGTTACAAGTTTTCTGTGCCTTGAGATTTTTTTATAATGTTATTTTACACTACAATTGTGGTGGTTAACCAAAATTTAGAAACAATCATTAACATGCAAACATTTCAAATACACAGTTCAGGTGATATACTAATTTGGTCTTAGTGATTGAATAAGGGTTCAACAACTGCGTGATTTAATATAATATAATTATTGCATTAAATGAATATTGTTTATTCTGGAAAAACTCACAAAAAATGGGAATTTGTTGTCCTTAAGAATTATTTAGTTTATAATTATTCATGTAATTTCAGCTCTCAAACTGCTGTACATTTAAGAGCAAGCAGTTGAATATTAAGAGTTCAGTTTTTTGCCTGCTATTAAGAGATATGCAAGATTTGAAAATTTGTTTAAAAACTTCATTTAAATTCAAAATTAAAGGTTAAAATATGAAAATTTTAAAAGCTTACAAATACACGTGTACTGCTCAAGGTGTCGCATAAACACTTGTGAACTCCACTCACATTCAGGTGAACTTGATCAAGTGTACTCCACTACTTGCAACATTTTTCCTTGTTAATTATCTTGGAGCTACTGATAAATTAAAAAAACAAAACTGAGAGTCCTGAGGGTGCTTTATGGCATGGTGCATTATCTTGCTCAAATAGGTTTTGTCATTACTGTCTCTCAAAATGTTTATATTTATTTGGTTGGCCAAAGTTAACTGTCTTAACAGTTATTTTAAATTGTTACTTGAAAAAAAACTAGCATAATTGGTCAATATTGATAACTTAATATCTTACATTTGTCCTCTGTCTTTGCTTGACATTATTTTGAAAATTTCAGTTTAATGTGTAACTCTCTTTGGGTTGTTTAGTTTCAGGAAGGAGTGCCAATGGATACTCAAAACACTCACAAGCCAATCCATGAAGTCCAGGATGTGAAACTGGACTGGTATGAAAAAGTAGGTACTCTCACTTATAGACATTGAAAATTATTGACCTTTGTAATGGGTGATTAAGTAGTTCTTGCAAACACATCAGTTATGTTTTGTTGTTATTAAATAAGGTTAAATGTTGCTGTCGATAGTAAATTGTGTCTTTTTATTCAAATAATGTTGTCATTATTCTGTTCTCTAGCCTACTTTAAAACTGGAGTACATGATAATACATGAAATTAGTTTTATGTGCATATTAATGTTTCTAAACATAAAACAATTACATATTGGTATTTCAAGGTGAACTTGAACTCAGAATCAGTGGACACGTTTGAAGGTCATCATAAGCATTTCTATTTTTGCTGTCCTTTAGTTTTGGCTTAACATGTTTCAGATAACTGAAAACAAGTGTAGTTCATTGTTAAGATCAAATACATGTAGCATTGGCATGTTTTAGCCCTTATCAGCACACATTTGAAAAGTTGCGTCGTAGAACAGCTGGGGTCAATCCGGACCCCAGCACAAACTTATCATCATAGTAAGCTCTGGAGTGATATTCCAAAAACCAATTGTCATTACAACTTTTACAGGGCTCGATTTTAAGAAAATTTTCAGGTTGTCTGGGAGGCTATATTGGTTATCCAAAAAACAACAAAGAAAAACATGGACCCCTCAAAAAAAGATCCAATTATGACAATATTGATGTACAAAGACCCAATTACAAGAATTTTGATGTTTTTATATCATATTTGTTTCCATAAAGTAAAGTTAATGTTTAGTTGGCAATTTTGCATCTTTATTAAACTAATTTTTGATACCTTATTTCCCAGGAAGTTTTGTTACATTGGAAAAATAAGCCCAAACCATGCTAATGTTACATAGTATCTTAAAGAAACAAACAGTCAATAACCTTTAAAACCTAAATTGAACAGTGAGCTTGGCCTGCCCATAAAGTACAGCCTGTAGTAAGACTAGACTTGCATCAGAACTCTCACACATACTACTATACTGTAATACGTACACAATACCTGAGTGCTGCACATGTACACACTCATACATGTATTGTCGTTCATACTCATAGTTTGTATCGAACTGGAGAGAGGCAAAACTAGCCTTATTTTATTTATTGTTATTCTGTTTTGTACTGATCAAAACTTTAATAAAATTTTGTTTACAGTTATCATTATTATGTTCTGTTTGATTTGTGGACTTTCCCACTTTTCTCATGGTAGCTAGGTTTTCCACATTTCGGAGACTCAATTGTTCTTGTCTGTCTAATGTTTACCTTAGGCCTATATATGCATAATCGAAAGGGGGGTCAGTGTTTCAACTGTGATGATTAAAGATGAAAATTCTGAGTTTGATTTTGTAAATCCGAACATTTTAGTTCCTACTTGTTTATCAGTAAGAAGTCGAGACAGCCATGCTAGTTTTATTGTCGTAAGCATCTATACTAGAAATATTTGTTATTGGCATTTGTTTTCGTTGCAAATTCCTAACTGCTCATATACATGCATACAAACAGCGTGCAATACAATGTGCGGTAATAGTTTCATTTTTAGTTTACTTACTGATTAAGTACATATACATTTTACAATTTTTTACTTTGGTTGAGTGTTGATTTAAATACTAAATGTTTTGTTACTGTTAAAACATCTGTACATGAGCATGATCACACTAGTGATTGAAACGATATGCCTGTTTTAAAAATAAATTTTACTTACTATAAGAGCTGTAACTTGTAAAACAAATGTGTGGTAATGTAACTGAGCTGTATATGCTGTACTATGTTACCACATATGCCATACAAAATTTACATGCAGCTTGTCCATGATAGAAAGTTTAGTGACTGAATCAGCATTATTAGCCAATCACAAAAGCAAAATTTTCCAAACATTTTCAGCCCCTTTTGTGGATTCTACCAACATATCGCTTGCACAAAGTACAATCTTTTTTAAACAAAAAAATGGACCAAAAGATATTTTGTGGGGGTTCAAATTATGGAGTTTGTAGTTAGGGAATTTACTGATGATTTTTGCTGAGAATTGGAGTCAGCATTACATGTGTAGAGTAGGCATGGATAAGTGTATAGTAGACTGTGATCCTGTTTTGAGTAAGGGTCTGTTCCAGGGTGCTAGTCATCTGTTGGACAACACAGTATTTAAATAAGTAGTATTAAACTATTCCTTTTACAAACATTGTATCAAAAAAATGTGAAGTTTTATTATACTCCTATATTCAAGTCATTATCCACCAATATATGATGATATTACCACAATACTGCAAAATGTGACTCGAAGAGTACACTGTGGGTCACCTTGAGTCTGTTCAGACCCCCCAACACAAATGCATCCTTATAGTAGGCTGTAGCTTGAAAATCCAATATGCAGGTTGTTTACAACAATTATCAAACAAGGTTTCTATAACATAGTACATTATAAACAGCCATCACAGAGAATACTTGTTGAGGAATGATATGTGCATACATGCATACCACAATGATGTTATAAGCAAACAGACAAGATGATACTGTATTAATTTGATGGATTTATCTTCTAAAACAGCCTATATAGTGAAATAGATGCTTAGAAATTTTTTTATATGCTATAGGGTGAACTGCATGTATATTGATGGTCAATTATAGTATGGGGTCCAGATAAATATTAGATTATAGCTACGTATTCTTGTCTGCTTGTTATGAAAAGAATCAAGGATCGGAATATTACATTCCCAAGGAACTTAATTTTCCTTAAGGAATTTCATCTTTTTAGTTGGCTTTTCCAATTGGGAATGCACAGTCCATCTGTATTCCTTTAGTTGTGACCAATGACAGTGAACATATTGCATGGATTAATTTAAAAAACAATTCATGAGGAAATGCAACTTTACATGAGGGAGTGTAATCTTCCTGATAGCTTTCCCTCGAATGAATGTAATTTTATTTAATTATTTCTATCCATGACAATAGCCTCATATTGATCCAGGGTTTCTGCTTGACAATTACATGAATTGATATAAATTTGTAAAGATTATGTATAAAGATATACAACTGAGAAAGACATTGGGATCCATGTTGTGCTGTTTAGGATTAAAAAGTCAAAAAGTAAATTTGAAAATCATCATAAGAAATCTCATCTTTTTGCTATATTTTCATCTGAAAATAGATGATAAGTCTAATTCATTTTTAAGATCACATACATGTAGCTTTTGTTTCAGACCAGCATACTCTTGTGTTAGAAAGTTTTGGATGCTAGAATTTACAGGAACACATTTGTTTCTTTTTCTACACACGGGTACATGTTTCTGAAGTTCTCTTGATCTTTTTATCTAGAAAGCTGCCATTTTGCTTTGTCATACATCTTACTGAATGTCAGCTACCTTTGCATTTATTTATCATTGATTGACAGAGAAATTGTGTAAAATTTTTTCATATGACATTGGTTGGTGATAAAACTTTAGAGAACATGTTGGTTATGGAAACATTTGCATTTAGCAGTTTTAGAAAAATAATCAGAAAATGAATATGAAGCTTTATAATTTTAACACCTATTTTGATATATCTTCATAATTTAAAAAGAAAATCAAATACAAGCAGCATTTACATGTGGATTGTTTTTTGTTAATCAAATTTCAATATCTTATAAACTTATTAAGGTTTAAATAATAAAAATGTGTATTTATGTATTTGTATTTTTACTTAAAGGGACCTGACTCAATGACCCTGTGTTTATACATTAAAAACATTAATAAGGACTCCCTAGAAGTCTGTTTTGAAGATACTTCTTTTTCTGTGAAATTTAAGACTGGGTAAGTTTGTCCCTTTATTTTTTATAGTTTGATCCATTGTCAATCAGAAAGTATTCAATTACAAAAGCACAGTATTTTATATTGAGGATTTGTGCATTTTGTCATACAATAATCTGAGCACAGTTGTCAGTCTTACTGTCTGAACTGTTGGCCAAGTTCCTTTCTTTCAAATCATATCATTGTGAAAATCTTCGTAAATCCAAATCAGCGAAAGTGAAAGTAATCTGATTTTGTGAGTCTCTAGAGGCCTACAAAGCAGTTCCTAAACACACTTGCCTCTCTCACGCTTTACCTTTATCCCGATGAAAGGTTCTCTTTTTTTGCCCATCTAAGCATTGGTATGAATTCTACCTAACTTGTTCCAGTCTTTATACCCTATTATATTGCCTCTAGTGATTTTAATCTTGTGACTCCCTCTGCCTACATCATTGCTCCCTCTATACCCAATCTGTATATAAGCTCTCCATCATTCTTTCTTATTAACTTTATCGAAACTGGCAATATTATCATACCAGAACACCGCCTGTCATGGAGAGGAAGGGCGAGATAGTGTGAGAGGAGATAAGTATTATCAGAAATACATTTTCACTATAGGAAAATATAATCTTCTGAAACACACTTACTTCCTCTCACACTTTAGCTAGAATCCCACATTGATCGGTTGGAGGGACCGGTGTGGGCAAGATCCACACAGAAAGCATCTGCATAGAAAAACAGGTGTGCAAAATTGAGATATAATTTAGCAGACTAGTGGGGGTTTGCACTACTTCTGGAACAGGTATGCTCTTCACCCAGATAAAGAAAAATCTAATCATGGGCGGTAAAGGCCTACTGGCTACAGAGTCAACATTGTTCATTATCATGAGAATCGTCCAGGCCCCAACTACACAGATGAGGTTTTATGTCTCTTCGTTGGAATTATAGGGCTGAGGACACAAAGCTAAATCCCAGGTGTAGTGGCCTAGGACATGGGGACCACAATATGATATAATTGTATAATAGGAATATGATATGAAGAAAACCCAACCTAAAAGTTACAAGATGTTGCATGTGGAGCCACCGGAAATATGAAGAAAAGGCAAGCAACACCTAAATGGACAAACCCTCACTTAAAATTCAATGAACTGAACTTGGAATTATGGGCCCAGGCACCCAAGCTGAAAG